TCAATGGATGATGTCTTTGACGGTCGGTGTGAACCGTGTGAAGGAAATTCAGACTTGCCGGTTGGTGGGGTCCATGTGACAACAGAAACCAGTGTTTGGAGACTATGGCTTGCATCACTCATTATCGACATCAGTTGAGCAGATGAACCCACATATTATCTACATCCTAATCGTCAAGCTGAATGTCAGTGTTGTTTCATTCCTTTTTATTTTATTTTCACGACCTTCTAACACTTTTGACCACTTTCTTCCTGATTTCTTCATTTATCATTTTGGCACATTCTCCTTTGATTTACTGATTTGAGATGTGGTGACTTGAAGCGTTACAGAGTAATTTTAGGTTCATTATTGATATTACTGTAACAGTTACGCATTCATGTGATATATCTATACATCCTGTCACCGTACTGTCGGGATATGCTTGGTTGATAATGCAAGGGTAATGAAACACTGACGCCAGTATTGGTGAATGCTTTTTCTCAAAATGTAAGTAAAACAAGATGAAAAATAAAAATGTGATAAGGTATTCAAGACACAATGAATAGTCAATAGGTGTTTAGATTATGGTACATGAACAAACATGAATTCATATCAGATTCTTATTCTTATCTTCTTCTTACCTATGATGAATTTAAGAAATAATACAGTTTGACTACTGAAGAATATATGTTCCTATTTCGTCGCTGAAATTTGTCTTTTTAATTTGCTACTTGTGAACAGAATTCAGCATATTCTTGTAAATGATTTTATCCAAATTAAATGCCCAAAATTTAATTTAGCAGATTTTACGTAGAAGAGTTAGTCAGACGTCTATTTTCAAATTTTCAATGAAATTCAAATTTGACAAGCAGACTGGGTGCCGAAAATAGTTCTTCCTAAGCAGTTACGTGCTCAGATGTTCTCGAATTAAACTAAGATAGCTGTCACGTGTTGAAAAACTCTTCAGTTTAAGAGTACTGAGATATAACAACTGTGAACTGTCTAAATAAATTTGTCAGTTCAATATTTAAAAGTTTTTAATGTAAAACCATGAGTTCTAGCATAAATGTTGGCTAGGAATAAAACTTACTGAAATAAATATTTGGTTATTTCTAATGGTTTTATTACCATATAAACGGCCCACAATTACTCAGCACTCATATAGCTATCTGGTTTACACTTCTGACTGGTGTCTATCAATCGTTCCCCGACTTCGGTCATTTAGTCAGCTGGCTTGAGATTTTAGTGTATGGGATCCAGCCATTAAATAGTTTAATTCTGTTATATTTTCTTTTATAAGTATCGCAGTAGCCAAATTCTACTCTTGTTTTAAGTAGTTTAAAATTTACGAGCTAAGCTATGCAACTGCTGGACTCATCGAGGTGTTTGTCAGACATTTCCCCCAAAGTTTAACCTACAACGTGTTTACTTACTCAGACAAGCTCAAAACTTATACCTATCACGGCTTTCAACCGATCGATTCCAATCATAGAACAGAAATATCTTCATCATATGCAACATAGTAGCTGCATAGCAGATGAGTAGAGTGCAGTCAACAGTACAATCGTAAAAGTGAATTTTAAGCGGTATCATTAGGTTTAGTTGCTTTGTCATTTATTTTATTTGTGTGATGCAGAGAAGTGGTAACAACGTTCACCCATAAAATCTTCTTAACACATTATCAATACTGCTGAATAATTTGCCAAAAACATTTCATTCCATAATTGATTTTATAAGAACTCAGTACATTGCCTGATGAACTGGTGACTTATGCATGTGATTATGTCTACTTTTGACATTCTTTTCTGAAATAGACTGGAATGTTGATCATTTTATAGTGTAACTTTTGATAACAGTCAGTTGGCTAATTTTATTCTGACAGATATCAGCTTCACAAAATAATTCTTTCTCATCAGTAATTTCACGCTGGTTTTCAAGAGGACCAAACAGCCATCTAGGCGTATTAAATCCAGAACAGTATAGTGTCATCCTATGGCGCAAACACGAGGATACCACAAAACTAATGGAACTAAAAATCACTTTTCTTCAGATAATGAGATAAAATAACGTTTAAGAAAAGTAATAAACGGTAATCAAAGCTGGAAATGAAAAGCTTACTTTGTCCTTTTTTAGTCAAAGAAACTCTGATTCTGTTGTGTCAATAGTAAGCATAAAGCTGATCTTATGAAGCTCTCTGCATACTTCCAGCATACTTTTGGAAACGACTGTTGTATACTTAAATAATTTAAATATAAGGTTTATTATTTGTATGCAAGGTAGAAAGATACAATATTCATCTGTTGTCTCATTAAGACTTCCATTCACTGAAAGATATATGAATTCAGTTCTATATGATCCCGTCATTCTTTCTGTTATTCAAGAGAATTCTTTATGACATGTGGAGGATTAGCAAATCTTTGATAAAGAAGAAGTAATAGGATTTTCCTATGCAGTAGAATCAACGCTGACAGATTCTTTGATATTTATATTTTTCAGTGAGATTTCAAGAAAATTGAAGATCTTGGATATCTGGTTATTGTTGAAGTGTAGCATTTTTACGTAAATGTGAAACTGCTGACCTTTCTTGTGATAGTTAATATAACACATTTAAGCATTAAATATAATAAGTAACATTATTCTCATATCAGTCAACAGAATCTTCAAAGGATTACATCCGCGATTTGAATAGGTTTCGTTATAAGGACTTCATTAATATCATCAGTATCCTGGATGCCATCAATATTATCAGAAGGAATCACCAGGCTAACATAATTAGATGGGCTATCTTCTTTAGTTAGATCAGGTTCTGCTTTGTCTCACTCTTTACCAAAGGTGGTAAGAAATGAATCTAATTACTCCTTTTATTCCCTTTCTTTAACATGAAAAACATACGTTTAAGATAGTTCAAACAACCATCTACTAACTACTTTCGTACGTCATACGACGTCAGTTAGTGATACATTTTTGTTTGCTTATAAACACACAGTATTGCAGCCTAAATGCTTTTCTTCCGGGTTTTATGGACGAATCCACAGGCGTTTCTTCCGTTTTAATAACCTTTGAATCTGACTATCAACTTAAGATAATCTTACTAGAAATAACTGAATACTAGATTCGTTTATTTGATATGACATACAGGATTATCTACCTGATGACGTATAAAGCATAAATTACCAAGTAATCATAAAGCTTTCCAAATACAACTTTCATAATCCAGTCGTCTCATGTTATTCGTTTTTTTTTGGTAGTAAAATTCTTTACATCTGTGGTATATATATGTGGCGTTATTCTTACGAAACGCGTTGGGTATCGATCCAATGAACAAAGGTTGCATTATCAATCTCTCTCGACAAATATATATATATATATATATATATATATATATATATATATATATATATATATATATATATATATATACCAAACTAAATAATTATATTATTATTATTTATTATTTGTCCTTGAATTCTTGATGGAACATAGGGCTTCAGTAGCATGTCTCCAGTGCGCTCTGTTCTCTGAAATCGTTTGAACCTGGCTCCACGACATCTTCCTCACATGATCTTCTCCATGTCACCCTCGGACGCCCAACTCGTAGCTTCCCATCTGGGTTCCACCCGAGGGCCTGACCTGGCGCGTGATGTCTCTGATGGTCTTCTCAGTGCATGTCCAATCCATCTCCACTTCATTCTGCATATTTGTTGAGCGACAGGTTCTTGGTTGGTTCGTTGACAACCAGAGTTCCTTGCTGCTTATTCTTATTATTCTGGCCATCTGAGCTTCAGTAACGAGCCAGTGTAGGCAGTTGTTGATGAATGTCTGTAGTTTGTTGGAAATGCCTTTCGTAACGCACCAAGTCTCTGAACCATCACATAGAAACACTGACGACGTTGGTGTTGAAAATCCGGATGTTGTTCTACATGCTGAATGCAGAAGATCTCCACACTAGTCTCAGGCTAATGAACACCTGTCTTGCTTTTCCGATCCTGACTTAGACATCCTCATTTGTTTCTGTGCCGCCTGTAGTTGAAACAGTGCTGCCTAGATAGGTGAAGGAGGTTACTTCCTTTAAGTTTCTCCCGTTGATGGTGATTGGAGCAGGTTGTTGCTGTTGTTGTTGGTTAGGTATCTTCATCACTTCTGTCTTCTCTACGTTCACTTCAAGTCCCGTCTTCGCTGCCCTACCCTGCCTCTTCTGTCAACTTGTTAGTTTTTGCCTGTAGATCTTCAAGTTTTTGTGACATCAGACACAAGTCATCGGCGAAATCCAAATCTTTTAGGTTCTTTTCCGTGGTCCAGCGTATCCCCTCTTCCCGCTCCTCACTGTTTGTTGCATGGTCCAGTCCAGTCCACTACAATCAGGAATATCATGGGTGATAGTAGACAGCCTTGTTTTACTCCTGTCTTCACTTCAAAAGCATCACTGAGCTTCTCATTGTGAATTACTTGGCATGTGGCGTCTTCATAAACTACATTATGCTTAAAAACAATTGGTTTGTTCCGCACCGTTACTGTATGTTTGTATGTCACTGAGTGCTTTGAAATAGCCGAAGGGTTTTCTAGATCATTGCTCCTATTGGTCTTTATCGTTCTACACTTCTCTAGATTCCTAAGCTCAGAAAAAAGAAGAAAAACTGGACTCTCGTTAAATACAATAAAAGTCTTCATCAAACCAGTTTTCAGCTGAACTGCTTCCAGTTGCATTTAACCAGGTTATCTTCTGATACTTTAAGCACCACAGTGGGTAAAACAATACAGAAAGTAAGAAATACAAATGTCTTTCTCAAAGTACATGAGGGAGGGCTTCATTACACTGAAAAACAGCCCTTTTCTTTATAACAGACTGACTAAGTTAACTGCATTGCATGTTTAGCAGATACATTTTGTGTACTACGAACAAGCTGTACTGAATCTTAGTATGCCTCCACTTGCTGCATACTGATCAATGAACAGTTGTACCTCCTATCAATGTAATCTAATTATAATATTTATCTTACATTACTACTTGATATATATCCCAGCAGTAAATTCCCTTTTGCAACTATTTTACTACTATATTAGTACTGTATCATCAGGTGTCAACAGTTTGGCTAATGTCTGTCTGGAAGATATAATACGTCCCCTGTATATTCATTGGAAGACTGTGGATATTTCAGGAAAAAACAAATATCGGATGGCCTTATTTTTGGGTATGTTATCTTTTTGTTTTCTACCCAGTCAATCTTAAAAAAAGAAACTTGTTTCCGAATACAGTGTACCTACCTTTATTGCCAGTAATTTACAAAATGTTTACATATCGGTTACTAATAAGTTACTAAGTTTATTCCGACCTGTATCCATCATGAATCGGAAGTCGTTGAAGAATCCGTGAAAACCATGGAGTGACGAACAGCTGTTGTCTCCTAGTTTAATAGTCTTCAGCAATAAGCACCAGCTACCTTAGATGAAATCTACTCTTTGTCCGTTAGTTGTCATGGCCAGCATATTACCATTCAACTACTATGTTGGTTTACTTCAACATAGACATCCGAATACAATAACAGTTCTTATTCATACCTCAATTTTGAGCAACACTTGCATAGCATGTGAATATTTACCATAAGTGTTGTTGTGAAATGTAATAGTTTAAATCCGTGTCAGAAAAGTAACATTGGCTATTATAGGATTTTTAATATGAATTATGGATAAAAGCACAAAAAAGATGGATCAGTTTGACCTTTCTATTCAGTTTAGGTTGAAAGGCAGTCAATGAATTACAGTTTACTTGCGTATGTACACATGATATTTGAAGATTGTAATCTATGTGGAAATTTTAACAACGGATGGCAGACAAAACAATAGTTATGATAACAGTCATAATATTATTATCATTTGACTGATAGCAAACATGGGGTATGTCAGATTTTAAAACCTTCATAGAATCTATGCAACTTGCAAACTCGTGAATATCATGATAGAACTTAAAAGTTAAAAAGAACTTACTTAGTACGAATGAAACAAGATAGATGAAATGGATTAATGTTTCTGTTAAACGCTTCGGTTATTGGGAACATTAAGTAAAATAAACTGAGAACTGGTAAACATAAAAATAGGAATAATAACGAAGATGAGGTTGATACAAGAGAGTAAAGAAGAACCTAGCAAATGATTAGAGATTGAAAAAAGGAAAAATACAATGTCATAGCAAGGTTAACGGCTAAAACTTAGTATACTAATGTCGCACTTAAAAAAAGCTTGAGCTAGTGGATTTTCAAGGTATCTACTGCTTTCAGATGTTGAAAATTGAGGCAAAGTTGAATATTTAAGTGGATTCCATATGGAACCTTTTAATTATTGTTTAGATAACTTGAATTGTTAGCACCAATCAAATATTCAGTAAAAAAAATTCCGACTGAGTGACTCAATGATAACGTGGTTGCATCGAAACCTGATGGCTTTGAGTTCAATCCCTCAAAGCTTTGTACTCGCACACTGATTGAACAGTTGTCCAGCGCTCCCAGACTTTCAATGGTTCACCAAATGATCAAAGCCTGTCAATCAATCCCCACAAATTTCTGAACTGATAAATAACTCTAACACACGTTCACGCTCATAAAATTAGTTTGAGATACATTATCACACACGACTTGATAACAGTCTCTGCTTACAGTCAATGTACTTTGTTTCAAAGAATTAAACGAAACCAGGTGATGCGCACAAAGGCGACTAAATGAGATAGAAAACAGCTCACAGATGGTGACCGTAAACTCAGTCAGGCAGCCTCACTTTTTAACTTGATATTGATGAAAGACAGATCAAGTCGACAAACATTAAATGGGTACTTCAAAGGAGAATGTGCCAAAATGATAAATGAAGGAATCAGGAAGAAAGTGGTCAAAAGTGTTAGAAGGTCGTGAAAATAAAATAAAAAGGAATGAAACAACACTGACATTCAGCTTGACGATTAGGATGTAGATAATATGTGGGTTCATCTGCTCAACTGATGTCGATAATGAGTGATGCAAGCCATAGTCTCCAAACACTGGTTTCTGTTGTCACATGGACCCCACCAACCGGCAAGTCTGAATTTCCTTCACACGGTTCACACCGACCGTCAAAGACATCATCCATTGATGACATGTCTTAGTCTAGCCACCTCTACTCGTCCCCTCGTCTACAACTGCTTCAGCTAGCATTGTGCGACCGGTCAGATAGTGACTGCGCATGCGTAATATCTGTTCTGACTATTTCAGGAGGCGAAGCTTCACAACCTCATCAAATGACTTTCCTCTCATCCCTAGAACTCTAAAACCTGACACGTGTATTGCTGACGTGGTGACACTACGAAACGCGGCTTACGCAACAATGGTCAAGCATATCTGAAGCCTTCTCATGTCCTCCATCTTTAATGACCATGTTTCGTAGTCGTATAGTAGGACAGAATTGTGAGCTGTTGCACAGTATACTCGGGCCTTATTGGGCAACGGGATATCGTGGTGACTGCATAAACGGGGCATGTTGGTGAACTGGAGGGTAGCCAATTTGTACTGGTGCAGAGATTTCACCGATCATTGTCTCAATGGTTCTGATCTGACCTCGGAATTAAGTTAATTTGTCAAAACCTGTGTTTTTCTCTATGCACAACGGAGGTTTTAAATTCAAGGTTAATTTGTTTATCTGAGGTAGACGTTCGGTCGTAGAAGTATTTCAGGATAGGTTTCATTAGTTGACTTTAAGATTTTTGAAACAATATATGTAGCACCATCTCAATTTTCTTTGAAATCTTAAGATATCAACCAGTCTATTAAGATTACTAGGTAACTAATCTAATCCTTTTTGGAAGTTATATGGAAAAGTGCATGACATTATTCACTTATATTCTGTTTTTATGGCTACTGTTTTGGAAACCGAAGCATTTATGTATTTCAAAAACCTCTGATTAGGTATGGTCCAATGTATTAATGTTCTTTTTTCTTGTTTTTGTATCGATTTAAAGCATTTATAAGGCATTTTTTCATGGCACCACATTTATCACTTCTCAAGGTCAAGTAATGTATGCCATCTTTTTGAGCATTCCTTTCACTCATTCATGATGTACTTGATTCCAGCTTTTGTTTTAAGAAAAGAGAATGGATGGATTTCTTATCACTCAGTCAAAATCCTTTCATTTTTTCATTTTTTTGAGAAGAAAATTATCTTTGGCATCGGAAACGTCAGACGTTTATTAATTTAGAATATTTCAAAGTGGTTTAGATCTTGGATTGATATCATATGATGGAGCATTGAATACTAGGAGTTTCTGATTATCTCTTACGTAAAGGGTTTGGGACTCTTTAAAAAAAAGCAAGTATGCTTCCGTTAAAGATCAAGCACATGACTACCAGGTCCCATGATGACCATTTTATCAGTCAGCTACCTCATCGAAATCCAACGGTTCTTATTTTTCTGGCTCTATCAGTTTTCAGTATACTATCATTATCTATCCTTGCACCTGACTAAAAGCTCATTATATAAGTTGTCTTGTTCATTTCTAATCTATCTTTTTCACCTTGATATTGTTTATACGTATATAAATTATGAACTGCAATCTTTCAGTTTGTATTAAAATTCTTCTAAAATATGTTCAATATACATCTGATTTATCTACTGTTGTACAAAAGCGGTAAAAGCTTCTCGTCATGAATAAAATGAATAAATATAGAGGGGTGTTAACTGTCTTTGTATTTGATAAACAGAATTACAAGCGTTCATCTATCTTCCCATCTTTACTCATATCTTACTTTTGACCACAAGAAACAAAATATTATTGTCTTCAGGGGTATTTTTAGATTATAGATTAAAGCTTCATTTGTTACATAATTTATATTCAACCACCAAGCCGGTCTACTACTAATAGTAAATGAAATTGATCATTTTCATGGTCTTAAGTGGCTAGTGAACTATATACTCAGCGTCTGCTATTTGTCGATAAATTCTGTAACTGACAGTACCTTTATTCATTAACACAAAAATTATTCATCAGAAATATGCGAAGTCTATATTGTCACAGTTTTCCAATAAAGAAAAATAAGTTAGCAGAAAAATTAGTACATGCTCCAATTATATGAGACTGGCAGATGTTTGAGATTTCTACAAACAAACATTTGGTAAACATTTCATCTTACAGAAAAGAAATTTTAATCGACAAAAGCAAAGAAATTGGGCTGTGTGGTGGAGTAGACTTCCACATTAAATGAGTTTATTTGATGTGGTGCACAGCAATACAGTATCCTCTACTAGAGGATGTCTTCAGCACAACTACTGCTCTTACTTATACCACGATAATTATGCAACTTCCGACACCTGGTTTTAATGGTTCTGCAACTTTTTATTTTTTGATTGCAATAGTAACTGGACTTTCCATATATTCAGAGTGAATGCTGCATCATTTCCACTTAGTGTAATCGATGTCAAGTCGATGAAGGAAGATTCATTAGGAAATCTTTCTCCATGCACAATTGCATTGACCTTAATTATTGTTGCTGTGTCATGACCTGGTGTGTAGTTGTGAGTTTCTGCATGTATTGTAATAGCTAAAGATGTTTTTAAATTCCCTCGTTTTTTTGAAATTATCAGTATAAATTTACCCAAGTTTCTGTACTCAGTTAACCTAATAAACCCTGATCTTCTCCTTTGACTTATCTGTACTTAAACTCATGGTCGTTACGTGACATTCGGCAGATAAATTCATGACAATAATACATACTTATAAAGTAAGTTATCTGATCCTCCCTCCGAAAAATGAGTGGTTTTACATTGTGATTTAAACTACAAATTTTCATTGATTTCTCCTTATTTTGTGTACAGTATTTACCAGTACACAGTAATCCGTTACCTTTAGAATCGATACAAATACTATATGCACTCGTTTGTCGTCATGTCAGCCTCTTATTCTAAACTATGTGCTCTGCAGTGTGTAGCATTACTATATTAATAGCAAAGTTCTAGACTCATGACTGTAGCAAAGATCTTAGCTTATTGTCTGATCTCACATCACCAGCCAAAGTTTTCACCTACCTCGTGTTAGCTTTTACAGAATATAAATAAGTTTGCACTATGCAAATATGCAATCTTACAACCTAGTTAGTTTAATATACCCGGTTTATATCAAATAGTCCTATCATCCAGTCAAACGATGTCAACTTTGACATTTGCAGTCTTTGTTTCCTTTCTTATCCTTGTATACATGGGGATACAAACATTGATTTTTATTTTTATTCATAAGTAAGTTGCAGGTAAGCCGACTGCATCCAACCAACCTACCGAAGTTCACCACGATGGTGAACCTTTTAGCCTGGTGGCCACATTGCAAAACGACCGATATAATTTGGTCAGCATTCAGGACCAGACAATATGAAATTGAATTTGGGGGTTTGTGGGGATTTAGAGATTTTTCAAGTTGGCATTTATCATGGACTGACATCAGTTGGAAGAACATTGGAAACCTGGGAGCGCTGGACAGCCGTTTCATCCTGATTTGAGACTCTTCAGCAGTGCGCACCCACGACCTTGCCAGGAACCGAGCCTGCTACCTTCAGGCCCTTTGGCCAGTGCGTTACTATTGAGCCACTGGGTCGGAGTCTAGTGGTCCACATTTCCGACTTCTATCTTGACCAGTTAGGATCTGAGGGCAAATACTCAACTACACCATTGGGTGATGGTCGCGCTATTTCATGAACTGACAGAAGTTGGAAATATGGACCTCTCGATTCCGACCCAGTGGCTCAATGGTAACGTGCTGGCCAAGGGACATGAAGGTCATGGGTTCGGTTCCTGGCGAGGTCGTGTGTGCACACTGCTGAAGAGTCTCAAACTAGGATGAAGCAGCTGTCCAGTGCTCCCAGGTTTCCAATGTTCCTCCAACTGATGTCAGTCCATGATAAATGCCAACTTGAAAATTTTGAAATTGGTTGCTTCCCACTAATCAATAAGTGTTGATTTCTTTTTTTTCTACTAAGCTGGCCTCTAAATTTGTTTTGCTCAGTGTTTATTATTTATTTGTAAATTTAATATTTAGGCCTGTTATTCGGCATTTCAACTGTTGGTTTAGCATTTCTGTTTGCCTTATCCAGTTCACATATTCTACAAATATCTTTTGCACTATTTGGAGCTATTGGTGGCCCAATATTGACTATTTTCACCATTGGAATATTTATCCCTTGCATAAATGCCAAGGTGAGACTGTCTATTCATTATGCACATATATAATAAAAACACTATTAAGTTATTTTCAATGCTCAGTTCCTCTTCGTTTTCAATAAAAATGTATTGTTGACACAAAGAGATATGCGAATCTATTTGGAACGAGGTCATTGTGAGTTAAGCAATTTGCCCTAAATCAACCTTTTGGAATTTCGATATGAGACTGTGTATAGCTGCTCGAAATGCGACCAGTACATTATGGGTTCAAATCCTGCCTCACTTCCTGAAGTCTGGGTAACTAGGATGCGTCATTAACTTTCATACAATGCAAATAGCTCATAGCTTGTCACACAAACCTTTTATTATAGTTGTTGTTGATCTAATTTTTCGTCTATCAATGTACTTCACAACACTGATAAATTCAATGAACTGTAACAGGACAGACGGACAAATCAATGAATGACCCTGGACAGAACTGTATCAGTCTTAGTTATCATGCTTCATAACATCATTCAGAGAGGAAAGGATCAGAAAATAAATTGTTTTGAAGCAGGCAAAATTTGTGAGAGAACAGAAAATAAATAAATATGGGCCTTGTAGTTTTATTATCCAGGCCGCTATGTCAGTAGGCTGGTGTTAGCTGTTTCGTGCTTTGCTGTGATGCGGATTTTTGTTTCATGTTAGGTGATTATTGTGTTGCGTAGAAACCAGTTTCGCAAACCTTGGCTACGACGAATAATCTTGCCTAAAAATTTATATCACATGAATTACGTTCATTTTTTACCGAAGTCATCAAGAGATGATTTGTTTCCAATTACAAAATCTATGCGACAACACTTAAAAAGCCAACTTCGTCTGTACGTTGAACGTCTTCATTGATTCATTCTTTACTTCTGCGTGCTTTCTAACTGGATAGTTTCTGTTTTGCAAGTTGCGTGGATTCACTTTTCTCTAAAGTTCTACATTGTTTTATCTGTTCTTTAAACGAAGGCTTCATGTATTAGTAACTTGGAACAACAAGTATAACTGTATTCTATCCACTTAGTGCTAATGCATCAATGAATTGTACTACAGAGCGAATATTACTGGTTAAGAGAAGATTTGTTGTTTAAGACAAGTGGCGGAATACATACTGAGCAAAACTTCGGTTAGTTAAAATATTCTGTATACAATATGTCTCATACTCAAAACATTTTTAATTTGAGTACTATCTGTTCTCTGACTTATTATTTAGACACTTCGTGCAAACAGACTAACAACAAAATGGGATCTGGAATTAGTGCTATACTTAAAATAAGCACACTAAAATGGATGGATATCAGAAAAATAACGCCGAAGAAATAAATATTGTTTTAGAAGTGGTAAAAATGACATCTATGCCAGCGCATGAACATTTCAATAGCACACAAAAGCTTTGAATATGTTATCAAACAATCATTGAAAGACAGTAATGATTGCAACGTCACCTTGTCGATTACCACAACCGTAGCCAGGATGTTCTTCACACCAGGTTAAAAAAATTGATGGCTAGTAATGAATCATGATAATTATGAACTGAACTACCAGCTACGTGCCATTTTTTACTCATAAAATGTTAGCTAAGGTATATTTATTAAATCTAAAACCTATGAAAGCAAACGTCGTTAACCTCGCTTTCCATCTGATTGGTATTTTGTTGTTCTTTTCAGCTGAAAGAGCTGAAATCATTCTGGAAGTTGCATACGGCTCACGTTGAGTAAACCTAGGTTCATAGGTGATAAGAATTAAACGTCAGAACTGATAATTTTAATATATGCATTGGAAAACAGTATTTATAAATTCTTTCGATGTAATGCTTTTTTCAATCAGTCACTACCACTGCGCTAATTGTGTCATACAATAAGACAGAAAAAAATTATTTTAAGTACAATTCTGGATTCAACAATCCTTGGAGATGACAAATGATGTGACTATGACACTCACAGCAGAACACATGATATCTTAGATAAAATCTTCAAGGCAAATGACCTTGACTCTTTGTTGAGAAATATCTCTTTGGTTATAATCATAAACAGTTGTATCCGTTGGAATGGTTAGTAGGTTTAATAATATTCTCAAAAATGTGATTTTCTGTGAGCAGCGATACGCTAAAAACAACTCTCATTTTACTGCAGTAATTTTGCATGGAACCAGTAAATGGTACACTGAGTGAATAATCTTGAATATTTCCAAAGTTGACCATCATCGTCAGCAATAAGATAAGGCGTATTCGTGAATTGCACTGTATTACCTTTTGTTGTCCATCAATACGATCTACTGAAGCAACATTGGTTGGCAAACTGACATCTGTATACAAGTGCATAGTGATGAATTGAATGAAGACTCCCACCTGGATCCACTGGATTGACGTCCAAACCCTCCCAACGATCAGCTGTGAGACCCATCTACTAAATGTTTAGATTCCTCGCTAATCACTTAGTCTATTACCAGGCTTTTAGTTATCCTGTTATCATCGAGTAAACCTAACTGAACAAGTTGGTAGCCTAGAGTCTTCTGATTCAAATTTATTGCGACCTAAGTTTTCTGTTAGTATTGAGCATCATCACTGTGTGTTATATTTCTAAACCAAATGAGCAAAAGTTATTAGAATCATCAGGATTTTCTCATGTTAACCTTCAAAAAATGTTTGAGCTTGTAATTAAAAGTAAATTCAAAATCATATTTACCCCTTTTTAATCCAGGGTGGGCTTTGTGCATTAGTCGGCAGCTTTATATGTGGTATGTGGATTTCATTAGGAGGCACTTTCAGTCGTACAAGAAGCAATACTCACATTTTGCCACTCACAGCTGCCAACTGTTCATTCGAAGTTCTTCAGAATGTATCATTTGCTGCTACTATGCCAAATGCCAAATGGTCATTTTATTCTCTGTCATACCTTTACTATTCTCTGGCCTGCTTAATTGTTGGAGTATTTTTAGGCCTTTTAATCAGTGCCGTTTCAGGTAAAGGTTTGCGTTTTGCATATGAATTATAAATATACACTATCTCTTAACTAGGTAAATGGTGTATCTTGACATTCCCACCTTTGGTTTTTTGGGCAGAACTGTCTTTAAGAGATTAATGTTACGGAAAAATTCTTTAACACCTTTTCATTTTTAGTTACATATGCTTCAACATGTACTCACTTCCGTTTGTTGCTGTAAGTGGTATCTGGATTTACAGAGGACTGTTCGATTTCTAGTTCTCCGTGTAACCTAATCATCCGTGAAATTCTGTGGATAATCTGTAAAGAGTATTGAAGGTCATTACGGTGTAGAACAATAATTAGCGAAAGACTTTGTTTCCCTGTAAAGGAACAATGTCCACCTGCTGCACCCTTAAAGACATCTAAATGAAAGTGCACATGATCAGCTGGTGATCAGTATTCGTAGGTACAATAAATTTTTTGTACTGTACTGTACAATGAACAGAGTTTATATATATAATAACTCCATCATTTTATGTTCAACTTATTTTGCCGATTGTTTCTGTTCTGAATTATTAACGTAATCAGGTTTATTGTGAGTTTATAATTCGATTTTTGATCTTCTATTTTCATATCCCTACTCATTGTTAGGTGTCGACTAAACTAATCATTGGTTATTGTAAGAAAGTGGAGAAGACTCTGTCTACCTGTTCTAAGGCATGAAATTAGTGACGAAGCTACTTCACTGCCGACTTTTCTTCTTTCTTTCATAAACTACTGTGATTAGATAATCCAGAATAAACAGTCCTGTAATATGAAGTTCTCTGGTTCACTCACCACAGACTTGTCACTAAACTTGTCGACAATGTGTCTCATCCTCAACGGGTCATTAGGCGCACACTGCTGAGGAGTGCTGAAATAGGACAAGACAGTTGCTTAAGGCACTTAGGTTTTCAGAGATTTTCTTGTTCATTTCAAACCAAAGAGAAAACTCATCTGAGATAAACCAGTTCCCTACAAACTCCCAAATTTGACAGTTAACCCTTATTATAGTACTCAAAGTTGGACAGAAATTGGTTTGTTGAATGGGTTGACTGAGACGTTAGCTAGTGGATAGGAATCAGATGTGATACGATCTGACTGATCTCAGTCACAAATTTCTTCAGCCTTCAAAAAGTTGGGGGAAATTCTCAGGCAATAAACAAAGTCAAATCAGTCTGATAAACACAATGTCTAACATTTTAGTCCTATGATTATCAGAAACTCCCAAACATAAAACCAGAAGAAAACCATGAAGGTTTCATACCTCTTCGCGGATTAAGCGACCTGGCTAGGCTAGGTCTCTTAACACAGACGTGCTTACAAGTGCCCAACACTAGATGTATTTCTTAACTTAGTGGCGTCATCCAACTTCTTGGATCAAGCGGTCTTATGATAAAGTACACCAGCCTTTTGAAAGCTGTGTAATCAAACACCAGCAGGAGTATCATAGCCTAAGGTGAGTTATCAGATAAGCTGAATATGTTGATTTTTGTCCAACAAAGATGCTGATTCCAACTTATTTTATCACGAACATGTTTATGAGTCTCGCCCTCCTGATTTGAATTTTAAGGAGTCTATCTTGTCACAGGAGACTGACGAATAAATGTAGAGCACATAGATGACACGATTCTCTAAAATGAAGATGCTGAAAAGATGAAGTCTTACGAGCACGTTAGTTGACAATTTGTGGAATTCTGGGTTATATTTCTCCTTCGAGATTGGTCTAAGATGGTTTTGCATCCAGCAATAGAAAACAAAGTGGTTGAATGTGTTGATCACTTCACTTAATCTGGAGTTCAGATCAGTCCCCGTGAGTCAGAGACCAGTAAAACCTCTGTATGATTACAAAATGGTTCGCCTTCAATTCGCCAAACCACGCCATTTATGGTACTACCATGATACCCGGTTGCCTTTTATGGCAGTGAAACATGTTCATTAAAGGTAGAGGAAGTGAGATGCCCTTTGGCATTCGATTACCATTGCCTTCATAGGCTGTGTTGTTCTGTCACCACATCAGTAACGTGAAAGCCAGACGTAGTATTTTGGAGAAGAGAAAAATCATTTGATGAGGTTGTGAACCTTAGTCGACTGGAGTGGTTTGGGTCATATGTTACTAATGCCCAGTTACCATCTGCCTTGTCACACAATACTTGCTGAACTAGATGCGCGCTGAAAAGTGGTAATTAGACGATGAGACTAAAATATAGCGTCAGTTCATGAAAACTTCGACTGTTGGTGCGATCCATATAGGAAATGTACAGTTCCTATTTGGCTCCAGCGTGACCATAAGAACTGCCTAGAGTAAACTCTAAGTAATATGAATTGGAATCGATCTCAGTTACGGAAATGTATACAATTTTTATCAGTGTTTTAATGGTCATACCGAAGCTGATTAATTATGCATTCTTCCTCGTTCTGTTTTCATGATTTTAAACAACTTTTGACAACTTTCTCCATTATTTCTATATCTTTCACCTTAATGCCATCTGCATTGATATGCTGTTTTAAATCTGGTGGCATGGACTTATATGGGGTAATGCCAAGTTTAATCTTGAAAGCGAATGACCTAATGAGAGGAATTCGTTCTATTCTTTAAGTTTGTCTCTCATGATTAACAAAGAATCCACTGAAATGTATAGTCAAAAATAATCGAATCACTCGACAGCTGGCACTCTCCTTAAGTGAAACTAATGGAATGTAGTCCGAATGCTAACCTCTTGCATCAAATACAGTGCAGATCAAGGTTGTGTCATGCAATTCGATAGCCACATTGCAAATACTGTTGCCAGACTTCGACCAAAAGTTAGGAATTGATATAGGTATTAGTTGCAGACAGATACTAACCAATTGTGTACAACTTAGTGCTCAGAATTAATACATGATGAAAATTGTTGATTTAGCCAAAGACAAAATTGACCATCCTTTCTCATTAATATGTCTAAGCAAAACTTATGTGTCACGTTTAGTTCTCTCGACAAAGAAGTGAAGAAGAGTGCGCGCAAAAACAAAAGACACTTCTACGACACATTGTCAAATGAAGCAGAACAGGCTGCTGGTAGGAGAGACAGAAACTTGACAACATTATATCAAATAACTAGGTTACTATCTGGGATGGAAGAGATCAACACAGATGCAACCAATGAGAGATAGTGAAGGAAACCCAGTTACCAAAGAGGAGAAACAGAGGAACGATGGGCTGACCACTTCAGAAAACTCGAGCCCACCAACACCTGTAACTCGTTCACAAATACCACCAGCAACCGCAGAACTACCAGTGAACATAAGCCCTCAGATAAAAGCAGAAGTGAAGTCCTGAACACCATAAAACTGCTGGAATTCGGGAAAGCAGAAGGACCAGATGGAATTCCACCAGAAGCACTGAAAACAGACGCAGAGACAACAGCGGACATCCTCACACCACTATCTCAGAAGGTTTGGAAGGAAGGAAAGGTGGAAGGGCAAACTTGTCAAACTTCCAAAGAAGGGTGACCTAATTCTTCGCAAGAACTGGCAAGAAATCATGCTCCTGTCTCTGTCCACCCGTAGCAAGCAAAATATTATGCCGTATCATCCTGGACAGACTAAACAATGCTCTGGATTCAAAATTACGGCTGGAACAGGCTGGCTTCAAGAAGAACAAATCATATGCGGATCAAATTGCAACGCAACGCTACGCTACGCATCATCATAGAATAGAGTATAGAATAGCAGTCAACTCTCTACCTCAACCTTACCGACTTTGAAAAGGCCTTCGACAGCGTTGACCAAGAAGTAATTTGACAGGCAGCTGCTTCAACACTACGGAATACCACAAATCTTTATTAACTTCATTCAACAGCTATATGCTATATCATGCTACATGCCAAGTGATTCACAACACAATGGAAGGAAGTGAAGACAGGAGTAAGACAAGGCTGCCGCCTACCATTACCAATGATCTTACTGATTGTGGTCAACTGGACTGGACTGGACTGGACTGGATCATGCAACAAACCGTGAGGAGTGAGAAGATGGGCATATGCTGGCTGGACCGATGAAAACACCCCAGAAGAAGATTTGGATTTCGCCCCCGATGATGATTTATGTTTAATGTCTTGTCGCACAAACTCGAAGGTGTATAGGCAAACACCAACTAGCTGACAGAAAATGCAGTGAAGACGGGACTTCAAGTGAATATAGAGAAGATAGAAGTGATGAAGATACCCAACCACAACCACTACCAACAAAAAACAAGCACCAATCACCATCAACAGGAGAAGCCTAAAGGAAGTAGTCTCTTTCACCTACCCACCTACCTAGGCAGCAACGTTTCAACTACAGACGGTACAGGCACAGACGAGGATGTCAAAACCAGCCAGGATCGGAAAGACAGCAAAACAGGCCTTCATTAATCTGAAATCAGTGTGGAGATCTACTGCACTCCACTGTACTCAGCATAAAGCGTGAACAACATCCGGATTTTCAACACCAATGCCAGTCAACTCAGTGCTGCTATATGGTTCAGAAACTTGGCGCGTCACGAAGAGCATTTCCAACAAATTTCAGACATCCACCAACAGCAGCCACCTTAGCTTACTCCATACTGAAGATCAGATGGATGGCCAGAAAGAATAAGCAACAAGAAACTCTGGCCGGACAACGAACCAACCAAGAATCCATCTCCCAACAAATATGCAGAAGAAAGTGGAGATGGATTGGGCATACACTGAGAAAACCATTCGGAGACATCACGTGCCAGGTCAGGTCCTCGAATGGAATCCAAAGGGGAAGCGACGAGTTGGACGTCTGAGGGTGACATGGAGGAGATCATGTGAGGTAGAAATGGAAGCTGCTGGGCAGTCGTGGCACCAGGTTGAAAAGAGAAGATAGTGCGATGGAGGCGAGCTACTGAAGCCCTATGTTCTTCCCCTAGGAACCCAAGGGGAAAATAATAATAATAATAAATTCTCTCCACACAAACGTATCTGATTACCCTCATACATTACTATGGTAATAATTACCGAATTTTCATTCCTTCGTTGTTAAACTGTATGACTAGTTTGTTTTCCATTTTTTACTACAACTTGAAGTTAGGTGAACTGTGATGTATAAATATGTATATATACAGTGATATATTCTCGAGTATTCAGACGGAAACAATTTTATTACATATTTTGTAAGAAAGGTGAAACTAGAAATTTAGCATTATATATGTGCGTTTACTGATTATGCAAAAACTGTTAACAGCAAATTACAGCCATACAATAATTATTATAAAAGCTTTAGAAATGCGAAACTGGAAAAATGTCTAAATTAATTAGTGGTTACCAGTTAATTTCTGCTCTGAATATAACTGGCATACCGAGAAATACTAACAAATGAAAAATTTGCTTGAATATAACACTACTACTATTGAAATATAGAGTCTGATAGGTAAGATTGCTTTGCACGGGTTGTTTGATTAAATAACACCATTGAAACGACTAGTCCACACTCAATTTCTTATTAGCAGAGATACTAAGTGGAATAAAGTGTTCACATACCTGTTACCCAATGAATTATTTTGCATTCAGTGAAATACATTCAGTTTCATTATATGAACGGATTCTGGTTTAAACTGAGTATGTAGACGAATCGGTATGAGACAAACACTACAAAAGCATTGTATTTATGATGCCGATAGACTATGATATCTCTAGCGGCTGGTTAGAAATTTGGTTTGATTCTTTTGAAAACTAAGACTACTCTTGGTCATGGAAGTATCATATAAAATGTATACCTTCTTTAGGTTTCAACAGTCGGTCTCCGGTGAATCCTCGATTATTGGCTTGGCAAGTGCGTGCTGTATACAGATATTTACCGAATTTCCTTCCTCCACAAACAGCAGATGATCATGTGAGTTAGTATTTTAGCAGTCATTTAGGCGTAATTGTGGTACTTTGCCTTCTGTACTTTGGAAATTTCACAGTAGAGTGCTTTCAGGTTTTTGGTGAAATAAATGGACATTTCGGTATAGTTCGTCTTGAGGCATCAAGCTAATTCATGACCTTACTTGGGATCAGTCAGAGTCACGTATGGAAGTAAGGTTTACCTCTGTAGTAGAAGTGAAACCTAGGTATTATATGAGTACAATTTCATACTCGTTTACTTATTTGATGTAGCACAGTGAAACAGTGTCATTTACTGAATGACGTTTTAAACGGAATTCATTGCATATAATTGTATTAAAATAATCACACAACTTCCATACTTTATTCTTAGAGTCCAACAGTTTTTCATCCTTTCATTTTAATGACATTAAAATTTCCCGAATACCTTCAGTATATCGATTCAATGAGCACAAATAGATTTACTGTGTTCAAATCAGAAGACATCCTGAGTTTTTCACAAACGTAAACTCGACAGTCAATGCAATCTAATTCAATTATGAATTAAAAAATAAAGAAGGAGAATTACCTATGTTGAATTGCGAAATCAAAAGAACAGAAGGTGGAAACGTAGATAAAATTGTTGATAGGAAAACATAGCACTCCTGTAGATATTTAGACTGCACAACATCTCACCCCATATATATCAAGGTAGTCTTGGTAAGACACCTAAGTAACTGAGTCAGGAGTCAGATAAACAGACAAAATCAATGTAGAACCAAGCACACAAGTGCATCGGTTAAAGTTACTACACTTGACAACATCATGAAACGAGGTGATGGAGAAGTCTGATTAATAAATCAGAAAAAAATCGAAATTAGGAAGTGGAACACATTGAAAAAATGCTACTAATTAATAACAACCCTCCAGACTTCATCAAGAGGGGACTCAAATCCTTCACAGTGTTTTCATATAAATGGAGGCACATAGGAAATTTTACATAGGATTGATAACAATGATGGGACAAGGGTGGCATTTAAACCCACAAACCCACTCAGAGAGTAACCTTGCAGGCTACAGAATCCAGTAGATCCAACTAAGCGAAACAAATTAGTCTATCAAATATCGTGTAAGTACTGCCAGGTCAAGTACATAAGTCAAATTAACCGATCAATGTCAGTTAGAAAGATGAGCAATTTATAGAAAAGGTCAGTTATTTCTCTGCATGCACTGACTCTTTACCACACTGTAGAGTGACTATTGTATCATTCATTTGAAGCGACAGGTCGATTACCGGATCTTTGTTCATCGAATCAATACCTAAGTAATGATTCATCACACTGCGGATATCTAGAAAATATTACTACCATTCAAATGAAAGAATGCAGAACTATAGAGGTATATGAGTTAGGTTTGAAACCTGTATGACTACACGATACGATTGTGAGCAATTAAATTCTACCTGAAGAGTCGCTTAGTAAATAACACTATATCAGACACTGTACCAAATAAACAATTTAATATGGAACTACTTAAACAGGGTAAACCTAGGTATTAGGAGTAAAAGACTAGAGTTTCCGTGAGCTATGGCAAAGAATTAATCACAGTAGAGTAATCCCTACAACTTAAGTGTCGTACAGTGGCTTTTGTATATTGAAATCCAGCCAGGATTTCAGTATTAGGTGAATACCAGGCTGAAATTGCCAGAAGGATGCTTGTTCACATGTCCAACGCCTATTTATTATCTGCAGTAGATGTTGGTTATATCTGAAACTCGACTGAATGAATGCTACAAGACACAACTATGACCAACCTAAGTGGCCTGAATACGAATACTCCAATTATTTCGATCACCAATTGAGTGCAAAAGCTGTCATTCAATTAACATGATTGCGACCGACTAATTAAATAAAAAGTAGTCAACGAAGACAAAGTTTGTAATGCGGTTAAGGTTTTCTCATTGATTAATCGAAGCCTTGGAATTTGTATAACGCAGCATTAACTGTTGTTTTTTACTTACTCTGAAAGATATCCGGTCAAACATTTTCTTACTTTAACATGGTTTCATCATGAACTGAAATCAACACAATAACAGGAGAACACTCCACAAACATTTTACTATCGTTTGAGATATCTGAAGAATACCCTATCTGGGACCCTGCAGGTACCTCAGCTCGAAGCAATCAGATTTAAATATAAGAAGCTTCAGTTTAAGGATTAAAGTTCACTCATTCCCTTAGGACTTGATGTTTTGCCATCACTGAATATTACACCTCAAAGTCCCAAAAGTAGCATCCAACTAATACACGCCAAACAATTCCCAATCTGTTAGTAACCAAAATGCGTTTACCATAAGAAGTTATGCATAAATATAAGTTGATGTTTCGCACTGAGTAACACCGAAAAAAAAGCAGTCTTCGTATGAATACCGAAGAAAATTTTTTCGAAAGCTACTACACTCGAAAGTTTTGTTAGCGTAAGGAATAAACCATAAGAATGCTATCCCTTTTAACAATCTCCTTCAGGCTGCGACACCTTTTAACATGGATGTATCTTATTATGCGGTTTCATTACATCTACAAGGCATTCGCATGATACTCAGAAAAATGAACAAATAGGTCTCGGAATTTGCTCAAAGGTGCGTCGTTCAGGTTGCTAAAGCGATTGATCGACCGGAGTTCGGATAATGAGTTGAGTCTCCTGTGGCTGCATATACATAAAAATCGATTCGTAGCTAGCATCAACTTTTATCATAACCGTTGTTATTTTGTTACCTGGTTTCATCTTCCAACGCTACACCCCGGACTCAGATACATCACATTGCTATCAGCACGATGTTGTGAATGTATTCAAGACTGCCAATGATTCTAGAACACCTGTTTACACACTGATAACACTTCGGTGTGTACTTAGTTCATCTTGGTCTTGGTAATCGTCCTTCTGAACAGGTTGACGCTAGCGAATTAGTTGCAACTAGTGGAGTAGCCAAATATTAAATTTATGCTGGGTAATGATTGAAGGTGAGATGAAAATCTGAACCGCGGCCGGATTCCAACCAGAGACCGGGTCTGGTTGGAATCCAGCCGCGGTCCAGATTTCCATTTCACTTTCAATCATCACCCAGTGTAAATACTGGTCTGCCAAACTACGGTTATCTCAGATAGTCAAATGAGAATACCAAATTGAATGGAATTCAAGACTATCTATCGAAGCACAATGATATATGGATGTAAGTATTAGCAACACCTACAATGAAAATGACGATTAAAACTACTTTTGACTGTCGTAAACCGCTGACTGAGAAGTAATAGGTGATATACCGACCACTTGAAACTCGTTGGTGCTCTTCAGTTTTTTCTAGGACACAGAATAAAACTGTGTGTGTAAGTTTCTTGGGTTATAGAAACCGCAGACTTTATATTAGGCCCGCTATGTTCGATAGTCAAAACTCATAAGAAAGATGGGAGCAGAAACTGAATCTGCCAATAGTCGAGAGTAGCTCATCCAAGCCACCTCATGTAGGTCATGGGATAAGCCTACTTCTCTTCACTATAACAAGCCAACGGTGATGGTTTAGCGCGGCTGTCCAGATTTCACTTACCTCTTTCACTTTGCTATCGATGGCATTGTCAGGACAGCTCTGAGCGATCCAAATGGTGGTGGTATAGATCCACGACCAGCAGATAAACTTTCTCATTTTAAATATGTGAATGACATAACTTCGGTGTGCGATGGCATACAGGCTACTAAAACTGCACTAAATCAGTCGACTATCAGTGTCTGTAAGCATAGTGTACGCCTTTCACTGTCAAAATGCAGAGTGCGTTTACAAGATTGCCAGGCTTCTTTGTCTACACTACTCTGTTGCACGTCTGTGAAGCTTGATCACTCGTAGCTGAGGATGCTCAGCGAATCTGCGTGCTTGACCACGTTTGTGTCCATAAGGTTGCTGACAACCAGTGAAAACCCGATGTAAGTAATTCTGCTTTTTTGCGACGTATGACAAAGTTTGTCACTATTTGCAGATGCCATTTCAGTGGTTCTCATACCGTTTAGTGTTTGTTTCCTGTGGGACTTGTTGAAAGAAGAGGAGAGGTGGTCAGTGTGTGACTTAGTGGCTTAGGAGAAGAGGAAGATGTGTTGTCTGTCTGTTATTGCCCCACAACTGATTAGATGATATCCAAGCCATCATACAACTCACTGATTTGAGACGAGTCGGAAGTAACGGCTACAATGTTGCATTTTTATTGTCTTGTATTTGTGAAAAGTAACACGAATGCGATGATAGTTTTCACAGAAGGTGTTCGCTCTCCTTTGTTCTTCCCTCACCTTTTTGCACTTCTAAGCATATAGTGTTGTTATATGACTTTGTGGCGTGTTTTTCGGTATCCATACTTTACAAAGTTTGTGTTTAAAGGATATTAACAGTAAAAATAGCGAGGATTCAGTGGTATAAAGTTTCTCCACAGACACTTGTCGAGAAATTGTAACGGTAACCAATGTATGTTTGCAGAGACCAACACACTTGATTGTGCGTAACGGTATGTGCATTTCTGTGCTATAGATACTTTTGTTTACAAAATATTTCTTGAAGAGAAAGTTTATATATGCTAAACTTATTTGCTTTGGGTTTAGGAGAATATGTGAGGCGGCCCTAAAACACTTAGTAATAGGACATTGAAGAAAACAGGTCAGCAACGATATCTTCAGTGGCTTCATTCTCCTCCGCTGAACAATAAAATTTTTGTTTTATTTGTACTGTATAGTTACAAGCATTAATTAACTGAACCTAGTAACAAGATCAGGTTAAGTGAAGATCAAAAAATCACAAAAGAACATAGAAATCAACATGAATGTAAGGTTTCAAAGTCTGTGATTTCCTCACCTTCAGTTGTATTGGCAATCTTATAAACTGTTTCGCATAGACCAGTTAAATTGAAATTGTTTTGCTGAATTTCTGTAATTAATTTCATCAAATGTTTAAACATTTCTTCTTCCATCCAGCAATTGCAGGTCACAGATGCCAACGAAAATTCACCCAAATTAGTTGAAGAACATAAATTAAATAATTCGTATGAAGAAAATGGATTCGATGTACAAACAATCAGCAGAAAATATCCATCCAAGGAAGGTGACACACTAGATGAACATTTTGTATCGCAGTAAAATTATCTAATGGAACATTGATGGTATTTGTTTTTGATGATATGTTACTTCATTGTAATGCCAAATTATTGTCTTGTGATATTTTTTGGAAAATACTTTTATTCTTTTTGAGTCACTACTACTTTGACACAGACGATTTATTAAGGATGTCAGTCAGTATCATCCACCTCATTAGATCACCTAGATTTGCTCTTTGTTGTAGACAACAATTATCACCATTTTAAAAAGAAATTTTTATTCTATTCCTCTCTTACCGAGTAAAGATTTATACACGGTTTCAGTATATTCACTTCACCTCAGGCAATCAATGACCTTAAAAATGATTCAGTCAGTTGATGATTGCCTGTATATATATAATAGCATGATGTTACGTGACCCGATTCCGATGGGATCCCTGACTCCGCATGAAACTAAGCATATGATTTCCTGCTATCCAGTCGTTCAAAATTGACAAATACGGACAAACTGATGGCTACACTATTCGATTTCCGACCAAGAGAAGACAAAATATGAGTTTACTATCCTTGGAATTTGTTAACAATTATACTCAAGCAGATCTGTACGTGACTCACAAACGTGCGAAAATGAAATTAGTCATTCAGTACAAAAGTGATGGCATTTCCTAGTTAATAAAGAGTTATTCTCATTGATAAGATGAGGTTAAATGTAGCAGCTAGAAACGAAGTTATAAAAGGATGGTTTAGCACTACTTATCACTTCAAAGTCTGTCAGGATCCGTATAATACATAAAGAATAACTTAATCAAACGCTTTGCTTTTGAAAATGAACTGGATGAAGTGAAAAAATGTTGAAATCTGACTGACTGACAAAAACAACGTAGAACCTCTCACATAGATGCATTGGGGTATGTTGCCACAATTCACAGTAGCACACAAAGAAAGAGTAGATATAAAAAGTGGAGTCAAAGAAGAAAACGTTGTGCAAAAAGATAAACAATTGGAAGATAAAGCTCAGAGCAGATATTAAGGCTTTAGATGTGCAACAGTGAATATATATACTCCATTGTCATCTATTTTCAGCAATGTCGTAAAGAGTTCTACAGCACTGACTACTGTCCTCTCGTTGACCCCAACCAGGCAGTCGACATTTCCCCACACAGTTCAGACCACCAGTAAACGACTTCATCCACTGGTGCCACATCTTAGTTTAACCACCCTTAAACACTATAAACCTAACACAACTCCACCTAGCATGGTACATCGAGGTAGGTGGCGACTCAGCATGCGCAGTACATGTCCAGACTACCTCAGTCGATGAAGGCTCACAACCTCATCAATCGCCTTTCCTGTCTTGCCTCGTACCCTTCACTTGACCTCGACAATGCTTAAACTGTAATTCCACCAAACGCAAGCAATCCTACGAAGATACCTATGACGAAAACCCTGTAACCGCATCATGTCTTCAACTTCCAACGGCCATGTCCCACAGCCGCACAACAGGGCAGTATGAACTGCAGCACAGCATACTCTTCCTTTGCTGATTAGTCGGATATCTCGCTAGCTAGCACCATAGATGACGCGAATCAGCAAATGTCAGGTGAGCCTTTTTATTCCAGTTGACGCTTCGCTAACAACCAGCCTGGTTAAGATGATACAAACCCTCGATTAAATTAAGTGATAGACACACTACCACTGCACTCCCTATCATTAAACTGGGAGTACTTGCAGTGGACCAGTCCTGGAGCATCATCTTACATTTAACAGGTGTAAAATGAATGCTAAACGTACTCAAATTTCTGCTCCACGCGTCCAGAAGACCCTGGAATTTGTCAGAGTCTTCGCCTAACAGGACAATATTGTCTGCATGCTCCAAGTCAACCAGATGACCCTTAGGGAGTAGACCAATCCCTGTGAAGTCAGACTTACATGAGCTTATGCTCATTAGTACGCCTATGACGAAGTTAAAGAAGAACGGTAACAGTGGTCATCCCTGGCGAACATGACTAGTTGTCGTTAATTCTGATGACAACTCTCCACAAGCCGTTACACAACTGTGTGGGTTCGAGTGGAGAGCTTGATAAGCAACATATACTTGTCGGTACTCCCTCCACAGTCAGATATTGCCGTAACACCTTACGGTCGATAGAATCAAATGTCGCCGTCAGGTCAGGAAATATGGCAATTGTCAGCCACTGGTCGGTAGGCACACCTGTGCTCCAGAACCTGTTGGAGAATAAAATATGGCCGAAGCACTCTCGTCCAGCTGTCTGAAACCTGCCTGGTTTTCTCGAGCTCCAGTTAGACGTCGATAACCATGGGCCCTAGGATCTTGGACGCGATGTTGATCAAACTAATTCCCCCATAGATGTCACAGGAAGATATTTCTTCCTTCTTATATACTGGGATGATCAGTGAAGTACGCCAGCCTGACGGCACTGCCTCTGATTCTCATACTCTACCAAGTACCTCCGTCACCTGAATTAGCAATTTCCTACCTCTATCCATGTGAACGTCGTGTGGAAAACTGTCAAATCCAGCTGCTTTCCATCATTTCAGGTTCGAAACAGCTTTCTCACTTTCGAGGTGAGTTGGGGGGCCGGCATAGGCATCCTGTTCAGATTTAGGCTGGATGTTGGGCAACCGAAGCGTTGCTGAGGGCCAGTTGAACCGTGCTTCTTGCCGGTGTGGTTAATAAGCCCAAATAGTTACTGAATGTTACCCAACACTGTTGGCTTCTCCATGTTTCTCGCTTTCGCCACTCACCTCTGCTTGGGATCGTTGCACAGACTATTGGTCAATTTATGTTTCAGTTGCTTTCGCTATTCATCGTGCTCAGAGCCAGCTGGAATTGCATGAATCGGTTCAAGAGACGTCGAGGAAATCCAAGTACGCTTGCTGACTTTCGGGTGTACGTTTTCAACCGTCTTTGTTGCTTTTTCTACAGCCGACCTTATATCATGCCAGATTTTTTCAGGTGACCATGTTCAGACAAACGCTTCGCTACCTCCCTAAATACCTACTTCAGGTGCTCATCTTCCAATCGAGCCTGGACAGGCTTTACAGTCTCCGATTTCCGTAGATATCTCCAACATGTCTTTCCGATTGGCCCAGCTTCGCTACTTGAGCGTTAAAGTCACAAGCGACCATGATTACGTCTGGACGTTTTGCTTTCTGTAGCAAAGTTGACAGCTTTTCATAGAATTCGTCCTTTGCATCATCTGAAATGCAGTTGGAGGGTGGATGCGTTGGCAAAGATTGTGAATAGGCTTCACCTAGTCTCAATCGTTCATAGTTTTTTACAGGCCCATCCACTCGAATGGCACATAAGGGTGTTGACTGATATCCAGTCGAGAAGTGTACTTTCTGCCCCGTCCTCATGAGTAACAGTTTCACTAACCAGTCTTCTTCGCGGTATCTTTAATAAGCCTAAGTTGCTGCCAAGTGTTACCCAACACTGTTTTATCCATCCCCACCCCACTGCTCGCGATCGACGTGAAAACTCTAGGTCAAGTCATGTTTATGTTGCTTTCGCTCTTCATCGATATCAGACCCAGCTGGAATGTCTTTTCGCATCAACCATTTCAGGTGACGTCGTGAAAATCCAATGACGTTTGTTAATATTTTGGAGTAGGTCAGCAACTATTTCTGCAGTAGACTTACTATGTCTTTTGTCCACATACCAGTACAATAACAGATTTGTGTCAAATTGAAAATAACTACTAGGAAACAGTATTAACGTGGGTGCCGTTTTCAATTCCAGTTAACAATCCATATTTTTCTTTATTGTAATTCTGAACTTGAATTGATGTGCCGTTCCAACTTGACAAGTTATTTCTTATTAAGAGGGTATCAAACGTCTGTTTAAAGCCACCTGGTAATAATTTTGCTCTTCGCGCTCATCTGATCAAATCGATTACTTTTCGAGGTAGGTGAAGCCGTAGCTCATTGCTTTAACCAGTTGGCTTTCAACTAAGAGGGTTATGGGTTCGAAAACCGCTCCACCTACCGAAGGTTGGACAGGCAGGTAGCCTTGACACAGTAGATTTGGCATACTGCCTAGTGCACGAATGCGGACAAAGTTGCTGAGTGCAAAAGAAAGCTCTTACAGTCTTTTGTCAATCTTATAGCTGAGTGATTACAAAATCGCACGCTGTTGACAAGTGGTGATTAAGTGCTATTTCCCGGGAATGTTAGAACTAGAAAGTTCACGTGGAGTAATTGCATTATTTCGTTAAAAACTGGTAGTCGAGATACTGCTGTCCAAATGGACAACGATTAGCTTGAACTAGTGCTTGAACTAACACCACTCGAATACTTATCAAGTGATCAATAGATTACATAATATTCTTTGTTGTGAAGCCTGTCTTCTCAACGTTACAAATTAGGACGATTAGGACTAAAAACATTCCTAAATGGATTACTCAGTCAACAGAAACGTAGTAGAAACTTACTGTGTGAAAATTTCAATTACAGTATCACCGTATTTAGTGAGTTATTATTTGTATAAAAAGATTCATGTTGATACAGGTATTTCAAGATAGTTTAATATCTATTGTGCCTAAGTTGTTCCTTGATTTCAAACCATTTAGAGTAGAACTTTGAGGTATGATATAGTCACTAACTTCTATGAAATTCAGAATGACTGGCGACAGTGGCATTCTTTTAAATGGTATTTATGACAAGATATTCTGTCCACTTAAGTAGCCATTCCACCACATCTTTCTCTGAATGATCCTTTTTTAGTGGAGGAAAACTTTAGGCATCTTGATAGAATATCATTCATTCCGTGTTAATTAGTTTATTGGATATTTTACGTAAAGAGACTGTTATTTACAGGGTGGTGTTTTGAGCACGATATATCGTTCAAAGTCATATTATAGGTAATTCCACAGCTTTCTGGTAATACTTCTTCACTTCCTTTAAGATACGAGTAATAGGATTTCCAGATACCCAGAATAGATGCTGAGACATCTCTACTGCATATGTTCGGCAAATAAAAAAATTCCCTTCCCTTCATTATTTAGACGGTTATTCAGCTTCAGTCTCATATCCAATTTTATGTGCGGATTATTCCGTAGACATTAGTCTATACGTTGCTACTTTATCTCCTTTATATTCTGCTCGGATTACAATTATACCACATTTTCACAATCGTCAAGAAAGCTTAGACAAAAGAAGGATGGATTTGTCGTGGAAACAACAATGTTATAAATCGTGGCAATCATGTTCATCGATAGTCGGAACAAACAAGACTTACATTTACTCCTACTCCTAAAATATACTAAAGATATGTACATGACACATTTACTGTGTTGAATTCAGAGTAGATAGATAGATTTCTCATACATGAATTAAGTTGTACATATAATACAGTTTACTTATAATGACAGTGAAAATCCACTTCTAGATGCTGATCGCATTTTATCGATCTAATGTGCAAATTGGTAAGCAAAAAGTGAACTTTTATTGGAGTTAAGTGGTTAAATGCAAGTGGCAGAAAATTTTACTTGACTTAGGTTTTGTGTTTTCTGCCATTTATCAAGCAAGATTTAACTGCAAACTTGGGGGAACTAGTGTTCGCCCTTCGAATAGAACCTGCATCATCTAGTGTGTTGCTGCTGTATTTTTTATTAAATGAAATACAATATCATCGATCAAACTCGCTTTATTAGTAACGGTGCTTGTGTTGTACTAATCGTGTCAAAAGTGAGTGACAAAAATGGAATACTTTTTAAACGAAACCGTAATATAACATTATAAAATGCATTGCTATCAATGGTCATCCACTCACTATTGCTTCATTTTTAAAAAATAGAAACTTTACAATTTTGAACAGAACTAAAAAAAAATACAAATCATCTCAAAGAAGATTCAAGGAAAACTCTGTTTATCACAAATATGACATATGCTGTTTGTGCGGACTACTTACTGTCAGAAATGCAGTTTCAACGATATCATACGGTTAGAGTAAAGGAAAGGGACAGAAAGAGAAACTATGATAACACTGAAACATGATTAAAATATGCGGTCATTTATGTTTGATGAATCCTGATCAGGCGGAAGGACACGATATCGGTATGATTGAGCAATAACTGGTTGATTTGGCACAGGCCCAGGAACCATTACATTTGGACCACGCCTAACTGGGAAATTTGGGTTAGCAGCACTACGGAAGTTATTACCTAGTCCACGTCTGGCCCTATTGGCTTGTCCTAAGTATTCTAAGAATGATGCACCATTCTTTGAAAGACAACTTAAGTCACCAGGAGGTGGATCCTCATGGAAAAAGTCATGTGATAAAGCTTGTTCAGCATCTAGACGTTTTGCTTGGATCCAATACAAGTAACTTATCGACCAAATCAACGGCTGAAGTACACTGGACTTGGGGGGTTAACTTCTCTCTCAGATGTCGTTTAATGTCTTTAGGCAATTTTATTTTTTGGAAAGTCTCTAGATTTTGGACGGCTGGCCAAACTTCAGGAGTAATCGAGCCACAGAGTTGAATTATTAGGTTGAGTTGAAGCAGCTCATTTTCACCCTAAAAGGAAAAAATGAAACACAGGGAAATCTAAGACGGTGAATTCATTTTGTGACAAACATCACTTAAAGTAACTTGGCAATCTGAGTTACCGACTCAACGAATACATACTTATTTTGTTCTAAACAAGGACTTTACATAGTAACGGAAACTAGCTAATAATACAACTATAGCCATCTACTTCATTCAGTTAGTGATGTTTAGGGATTGACATCAGTTGAGAGAAAAACTGAAAACCTGGAAGCACTGCACCAATATTTTGTCTTGGTTTGTGAGTCCCCAGTAATGCGCACCTAGGAATCTGCGTTGAATTTAGTACAGGATTACCAAGTATTCCCCACACCCCACCAATCGAATTACTATTCAGGACAAATTAGTGACATATTTCGAAATCGATTTCTCGTATTTCAAGCTAGCAGACTAACCTCGCCTGGTTAACTAGTTCACTAGTTACTAGCCGGTCCTAAGCCCGGGTATACAGGGAAGGTTGGGCATAGGGCTAGCAACCCTACCCCACAAAACAAATCTAACCGCTAAACAAACTTCAAAGCACAAACAAAATATAAAAAATAAAAACAAACTTATTCCCCGCTGGATTCGGAGAGGCGAAATGACGCCAGTTGGTGAAAGCCTTCGGGAAGCCAATTGGCCGATGTGTCTTCTCTCCCTCGATGAAAGCGAAAGTAAACGTGGGGACATGGAATGTCCGTACGATGTTTGAACCCAGTAAGGCAGCCCAGATTGCAAGGGAGATGAGAAGGTATCACATCGAAGTGCTTGGGATTTGCAAAAGCAGATGGAATGGAAGTGGAGTCTCCAAACTGTCAACTGGAGAATCAATAATCTACTCCGATATTGTCACCCAGACAACAACCACGAGCACACTGAGTTATGGAGTGGCTATCATGATGTCCTCAAGAGCATCGAAGGCTCTCATGCAGTGGGAACCAATCTCCTCCAGGATCATGACAGCAAGATTCAACTCAAAAGGAAGAAAGGTCACAATCATACAACGTTATGCACCTTCAAATAATGCAGAGCAAGAGAAAAAGGAGGAATTCTACAGACAACTTCAATCAACACTGGACAAGACGTCAGTTGGCGATATCAAAATTCTAATGGGCGACATGAATGCCAAGCTGGGAGGGGACAACACGGGAAGAGAACTAACCATGGGTCGAGAGGCGCTAGGTGAAATGAATGAGAATGGAGAATTGTTTGCAGAATTCTGTGCATTCAACGATTTGGTGATTGGAGGCAGTGTGTTCAGGCACAAAGATATCCACAAAGCGACATGGATTCGATTTCACCAGATGGACACACTAAAAATCAAATCGACTTTATCTCAATCTCAAGAAAATGGAGACGCAGTCAGCCTACTTGACACAAGGTCAAGAAGAGGAGCAGATGTAGGTTCACACCACTCACTATCTAGTGCAAGGAACCTTCCAAATCAAGTTAAAAGCCTTCAAGGTAGCTGGTGATAGACCTCAATTCAAGTACAACAATCGGAAACTGAAGGATGAAACTGCAAAGGAGATCTTCACGGCAGCCATCAAGACAAAATGGGAGATATCGAGGAACATCCCTGAAGAAACCTGTGTGGAAGAACACTGGAAGTCTTTGAAAGCTATGTGGAAAGAAACCTGCACAACAATATTAGGAAGGAAGAAGAAAGAAGACAAGGAATGGATCTCGACGGATACCTGGAAGCTGATAGAGGAGAGGAGGATGGTGAAACAGAAGATAAACCAGTGAAAGGATGCTCAACGACAAGAGGAACTGAGCACAATGTATAAAACATTGGATAAAGAAGTGAAGAAGAGTGCACGCAAAGACAAAAGACACTTCTACGAAACACTGGCAAATGAAGCAGAACAGGCTGCAGGTAAGAGAGACCTGACGACATTGTATCAAATAACCAGGTTGCTATCAGGGAAGAGATCAACACAGATGAAACCAATAAAAGATGAAGAAGGAAATTTAATTACGAAAGAAGAGAAACAAAGGAAACAATGGGCTGACCACTTCAAGAAGCTCTTGAATCGACCACCACCTGCACTTCGTCCAGAAATACCACCTGCAGCCGCTGAATTACAAGTGAACATAAATCTTCCAACGAAAATGGAAGTCCTGAACGCCATAAAGCTACTGAAATGCGGGAAAGCAGCAGGACCAGATGGGATACCGCCAGAAGCACTGAGAACAGATGCAGAGACAACAGCAGACATGCTCACACCACACCACTATTGCAGAAGGTGTGGAAGGAAGAGAAGGTACCTGGCTAGTGATTGGAAGAAGGGTTACCTTGTCAAACTGCCGAAGAAGGGAGACCTCAGTGCTTGCAAGAACTGGCGCGGAATCACTCTCCTGTCCACCCAGAGCAAGCAAAATATTAAGCCGCATCATCCTGGAGAGGCTTAAAGATGCACTGGATTCAAAACTGCGACCGGAACAGGCAGGCTTCAGGAAGTACAAATCATGTGCAGACCAAATTGCAACGCTTAGCATCATCATAGAACAGAGCATAGAATGGCAATCAGCTCTCTACCTCAACTTCATCGACTTTGAGAAGGCCTTTGACAGCGTCGACCGAGAAGTAATTTGGAAACTGCTTCAATACTACGGAGTACCGCAAACCTTTATCCGCCTCATTCAACAACTATATGAAGATGCCACATGCCAAGTAATCCACAGTGGGAAGCTCAGTGATGCCTTTGAAGTGAAGACAGGAGTGAAACAAGGTTGCCTACTATCACCCATGATATTCCTGATTGTGGTGGACTGGATCATGCAGCAAACAGTAGGCAGCGAGAAGAGGGGGATACACTGGACTACGGAAAAGAACCTAGAAGACTTGGATTTCGCCGATGACTTGTGCCTAATGTCACATAAACTTGAAGATCTGCAGGCAAAAACTAACAAGTTGATAGAAGAGGCAGCGAAGACGGGACTTCAGGTGAATATAGAGAAGACAGAAGTGATGAAGATACCGCACCACCACCATCAACACCAACAACAAACTCCAATCACCGTCAACGGGAGAAACTTGAAGGAAGTAACCTCCTTCACTTATCTAGGAAGCACTGTTTCAACTACAGGCGGGACGGACGAGGACGTCAAAGTCAGAATCGGAAAAGCAAGACAGGCGTTCATTAGCCTGAAATCAGTGTGGAGATCTTCTGCACTCAGCATGCGGAACAAGATACGGATATTCAACACCAACGTCAAGTCAGTGCTCTTGTATGGTTCAGAGACTTGGCGCGTCACGAAAGGCATTTCCAATAAACTACAGACATTCATCAACAACTGCCTACTCTGGCTCACTACTCAAGATCAGATGGCCAGAAAGAATAAGCAACAAGGAACTCTGGGAACGAACCAACCAAGAACCTATCACGCAACAAATATGCAGGAGGAAGTGGAGATGGATTGGCCATGCACTGAGAAGGCCGACTGAGGACATCACGCGTCAGGCCAGTTGCTCGAGTGGAATCCCCATGGGAAGCGACGAGTTGGACGTCGGTGCCGAGGGTGACATGGAGGAGGTCGTGCGAGGAGGAAATGAGAGGTTGTGGGCTGTCGTGGGACCAGGTTCAAAAGATCTCAGAGAACAGGAGGAAATGGAGACGTGCTACTGAAGCCCTATGTTCCACTAGGAACCCAAGGGACTAATAATAATAATAAGCTAGTAGACTGAAAGTTCCATAATAAAAAAATGTTGTTAGAAATCAATATTCAGCGGTAATGTAATCCACTTCACATAAATTATAGCTATCTTAAACACCATATATCGGTAGTGCAAGCGGATACACAATATGTTAATTTTGAGTGGTTTGTAACTGACACCTAAGGGAATCGACTTCCAGTTAACGGTCCACGGATTCGAATTCGGCCCCACCACCACCTACTGAGATTCGGGTGATCAGCTCAACCTTTAAATACAATAATTTTCAACACAATACATTTACAAACTAAGTGGTTACAAAATTTTTCAGTGATAGTTATATGTACAGTTAACTAATTTTGGAATTAAAAATAATGTAACAAATTATTTCGGTTAATGAATAAAACTGATAACAGATTCAAGAAATGGTTAATCGAAGTTCAAACAGAACACGAATTTAGGTGATTAGAAGCGTGATATGAATGTTATGTACTAGTGCAAGTTCAAAACAAATCAAAAAGTCATAAGTTAGCTTCTTCTGCATGCAAAGTTTGGACTAATTTCAACAGCAATAGCTGTCCTAAGCGATTTGCATCAGACGAAATCTTACCATCAGTGATAAATGTTCATAGATCTTGAAAATCACCGAAAAAAGCGAACGTTTTTTTTGTTAGCTACAAGATAGATGTTAGTTAGCACGTTCTGACAAACAATTTGTAGCAAGTCTTCGGAAGCAGTTGTACTTGTCAATTCACACTGATGCGGACATACTAGGAACCCTGTGGTGGTAATATACATTTAATTGTACAAGTTAACTTTAGAATTGCTGCTGAAAATGACTTTACCAAGGATTGTTGTAGTCTGTCAGTGGCGACCTTGGAGAAATTATTCCTCTTTAAACTGAGGGTCCGTTTCTTTTTTGTTATCCAAAATATAGGGTGATCCGTTTGCAAACCATCCGCAAATTGATCATCCTACTTTAGGTATACCGGTCTATGCAAATCAGCCAGCTAGATATAGGTGATCTGAACTAATTCAGCTTCATCACCTTAGGTCGCCCGGTGCTTGGATCACATGCTTCCGTTTGAGCACACCTTCATCGACTGTATTTGCTCAGCATATTCTCCTGAATCCATCTACCAAAACTCTAACTAGATTTCTCTTATGCCATAAAAGAATGTCATCTGTGGCGCCAACTGGCCAGATATCCGACTAATCAGCAAAGGAAGAGTATGCTGTGCTGCAGTCCGTCCTGTCCTGCTATACAGCTGTGACACATAGCCTCTATAAGTAGAAGATATGAAGTGGTTACAGGTTCTCAACCAGAACTGTC